ATTAGCGTTGGGTTCGTTATCCTCCCGCATCGCCTGCGGCTTTATCCCTCCTCCCCCCCAAAGAGTTCAGTGCCACCGTCAACACGGCGCGTTCCTGGGGCTGTAGAAGCTGCCGTTCATTATCTATATTATTAATATTAATCGGCTCCACTGCGGCACCCAACACACGCCGCATCGCGTGTCGGACGCTGGCGGAGCGAAAGACATCCACCTGGCGGCTGAAATAACGACCCTCCTCGTGCTTACTGAGGGAACTAAGGGTATTGTTCATATTCCCGAAGATGCACTCTCGGCCGAAAGGTACTGACATAGTGTGGGGTATTTGTGCAATAATACAATTAGTTTATTAGCGATGTGCAGGAGGACGGGATCCCCGGAATGCCAACCCTTTATTAAAGGGTGTTTTGACTAAATGCTCGCCATCGGATTCTTCACGAGGTTCTCGCCGCCGTGAGATTTCCACACAACATACTCCTTTGCATGCAAGGCGGACGGCACCCACGAAGCCTCACGCGTATTCCCACTTCCGATTCCATTTTCACGGAGCGGTGGCGCACGGCTTCCGGAATTGGTGATGAACGCATTCAGGCATTGAATTCGACTTTCCAAAGAGGTCTTCACCGGGATCAGTTGTCCATCGAATAGCTCTGCGAGTTCGTGAATCATCACATCCGCATCGTGTGCATACTTCTCGTTCGGGATCGTATCTTTATGCTGTTGTAGACGCTGAAAGCCACTCCACAAAGTATGAAACAACTGTATTAGCGCATCGAGTATCCACTGATAAAAAAATATCGTTACCGAGTAAGATGTGCATCTTTCACTATCCGGGGTTTCGGAAACGACCAAACGTTTTGAAAGCATTATCTGCAGCGCATTCAGTTCCGAACGCATCGACTGGCGAAGTTCTTCTTTCTCCTCCTTTTTTTCAGCCTACTTGGCGGCGGTGGCGTTAAATTTGGCAGAAAAATTAAAGGTAAAGTGAGTAAATAGAGAGATGCCAGGGCCTGCATGAGGCTGTGGTAGAGCTCTAAGTTGTTGATGGTAGAAAGATCGCTAAAGAAGATGGTTAGAGGGAGCATATCCGCTAGATTCAGTTGCCATTTCACTGGGTGTCGGGATTTGCTCTTTATCTGAACTTACCGCACTGTGTAGGATAGAAAAGAGGTGATTGCTCGCATGATGGCTTGATCGTAGATATAGCGGTATGCTGCCTGGTCTCCTATCCTGTAGGAGTCAATAAGGCTAAAGAGCTGCTCGTTTGTTTCCTTGGTATCCATAGAGCTGTTCCAGGATGCCACCAGCTCCGAAATCCTCCACGCCTGAGAAGCGCTGAAAAAAGGGGAGGTTCATTCCTCCTGATGCATTCTCTTTAGCATTAGTACTTCCTTTCTTCGCGACCTGGTCTTTATACTTCGGAAAAGGTGAAAAAACACAAATATATACAGGGTAACTACATTCATTTAGGTATATTTCGTTGTCCTATAGGGAGGCCGAACAAACACCGTGAAGCGCATGAAAATTGTGGATGACATTTATGTATGAGTTTCACAAGTTGTAAATAAATAAATAAATATATATATATATATTTATATATGGGTATGCAAGTGTGTGTATATGTAATTAAATCCAAAGCAAATGGTTGGCCCTTTGAGACTGGCATAGAATAGCAAGAATAAAATTACAAAAAAAAGTCTCACATGTACACAATACAGTACAATTACAATAAAAAGGGTTAGAAAGACTTAATTTGTCAACTACACTGACGTTCCATCCTAAATATTGTATTTCTGTTTCTCTAGATGCCCTCTCACAATAAATTACTAATATATATATTTACCTTTATGGAAACATTTTGTTGTCACGCTGATAGTCAGACCGATTTCACGTACTTGAAATTTAAAGACCACAAAAAAAAGGACTTTAGGAGAATTTGAAATTTATAATAATGATGATGTCAATATAAATTTTATTAGTCAAGCCAAAAGAGTGTGTAGATTGAGTCCTCGCACCACACCAAACAACATAACACCCATTTGTTGTTACTATTGTTTTTTTCTACATCCGCCTTACACGACATAAGGACTGGAATCATAGAGATTATACAACAGCCGCACACCTTCACCGTATCAGCTTTCTTCTGAAACAGACCTAAAATTCCATTCGCAATGCGTTTTTATTCCTTGCTTTAAAAAGGAAAAAGTACTGATATTGAAGAAATCGACTCTACACTTATTCGTCTAATTAAATCAACCGCACTGGGAGGAGTAATTCGAGACTGCGCATCGTAAGACTCCTCTTACTTCTTAAATGTGGTGATGACGCTTTCCGATTCACGTTCCTCGGTGACCGTGTAGCGCGGACCACTTAGTTAATGGAGAGGCGGCTCTCGAGTTATAGAGCCCGGCTTCTCCTCGGTGACACCCGTTCTGAGATGTAACAGAACCCCCC